GGGGGGGGGGTGTTATTTAATGAGAGATGGGGCACATTTAATGCGGGACAAAAGATACAAAGAGAGTGTTCAACATTTTTAGTTCAATATATAGTCGTGGCCCGACTTTTATTAAATTACATTATTGATAAAAAACATTTCTGTTATTTTAGTGCCAAGCCTACAGCCTACAATCTTTGCTGCAACACTTTCACAAATTGTTTTATCATAGATTTTCTTTTAGAGGGGGGCCACAGGTGGGTCCAAGCTTAGAATAAGAATCTGTATTCGTCCCACAGAGGGGACATTTACATTGTTACAGCAATTAAAGAGCCAAAGATAGCTTAGTATAATTGAGAAGCATGCATACAAATAAACTCAGTTAAAAATTACTCAGTGTCAGAGGGGCACAGGTTCCTGTTGGCCCCCCCCGCTAGAACTGCCCATGAACAGGGGGGAAATGGAAGGTATTAATCAAAGGATCACTGGTTTGACCCTTCAGTAAATATGTTATTGGGCAGGATGTTAACCCTGAATGGCTATGTCTACAGTATGTAAGTCACTTTGGATTAAAACGTCACCACAATAACATGAAATGTAAATACTCACTTGAAGGGAATGATGTCACGCCGAACTGGATTCACCTCATACGTCTTCAGGCCAGTCTAAACAAAAAGAACCCCCCCCTCTCTCTCTGTGTGGGAGGATGTGGCCCTCGCTCTCTGTCTCTCTATCCGTCCCCCGTTGACAGCAGGGGGAAGAGTCCCAGCTTCAAAGTGGGCCCTCAGCTTGATGAGGTACAGGACGAGTCGGGTGACAGGCCCCAGTGAGGGCCACACACACACCAATGTTTACACTGAGGCCCCCGGTTGGCCAAGCACACTGACACTGATTCACTTATACAAAAACACACACAGAAACATGTAGAAGGTGGGGAATGGAGGAGTGTCAACACTGTGGCTGTACTGCCCCCATGTGGTGGATGGAGTGCACTATAGGTCAGAGGGATGTGTACCCTGACAGACCTCTAACCACATTTTGTGCTACAATGCTGAAAATACTCTCCATCCATCCCACACTTCTGAGGTCTTATTGTTATTATTATACTTTTTAGAGCTGTACCTGAACCATTACACCTGAGAGACCGATTGCTTTTAAATCAATTTGCACAATAGCTACAGTGTTGGAAATAAAAATCCCAGGCACCCCAAAAATGCAACATACTATACAATGAATCGTGATGTGAGTAGAATGCAAAGTATTGTGCTGGAAATCAAGCCTACACAATAACTGGGACACAAACTTATGTCACGTTTTACTTCAAAATAAAAGCTTCAAATATATTTTGATGCTTCAATGACTTGTAAACTGGAGAATTGCCTCTCTTAAAACATTTGCACTTAATACATTTGGTGAGTAGGTTGTATAATCTTCTGGGGAAAGTGTGTAAGGCTTTACGCATTATGGGAAACGTAGGATCCAGCGTTTTTGGAGTTAGACCAACTTTAGAAGCTAAAAGTCAGTATCTCAGCATGAAAGCTGCAACACGACATACTTCCAGAAACAGAGAGGAGATGATACCTTTAATATTTTTAATTGAAAATATTTCACAAATAAAGAGGAAACTAAAACGAACATCTCCTGCTGTTCCTGCACAGCCAGCGAGAGAAAGGAAATGGAAGTGAGACAGCAAAAGAAAATGGAGAGCAAAGATGATTAAGATAAAGTCAGGTATGCAGGGGAGGAAGTCCTGAAACTGGCAAATATTTAGCGTCTTGCTCAAGGGCAGGAATGTCCTCTGCTATGCAAAGTAGAGCGTGCTTTCACCGAGAACTGTAATTGCAGGTTATGAGATCCAAACAAGAAACAAATCCATTTTTAAAAGATGGTCAGAGAAGGAGAAGTGAGCAGAGATGGAGCTGTTGCGCTGACCTCTTGAGAACTTGGCAGGGCGGACGACAGAGCTAAATGTAGTGGAGGAAGACAGCGTGATTTAGAGACCACAGGAGTTCAGAGGTGAAGCTGGCATGAAAAACAGACCTTCTGCTCCGTCTGAGAATCTATCCGTGCGGGTAAACTGGCTGCTTTCAGGTTCTCTCTCGCATTTCTGTGCGTCAAACATGAGTCAGTTTAGAAAATGGCCTAGCTATAAGATACCACCTACATCAGATGCTGCTAATGTACCTTCCAGGGTGGTGTTTGACGATGTGTTTGCATGCTTTATGCACACCCGTAGCTGTATGTCAGTGTTTATTGGTGCTTATTTATTCATGCTGACCTCATTTACTGCACCGACCTTCAACTCTTCTTCATAACCGCATCCTCTCCCTGGTGGCTGCAGTGCGCTCCAGCTGCCAGACCTCGACAGCACACACACAAAATGTTCTATAAATACATACATGCATAACACTTTCACACAGCATGTATAGCTGAAAACATAAGCAATTACAGTAAGTGCACGGGGAACATTATGCATGTGGTGGTAAGGTTAAGGATACACACATGCACGCACACAGACACCCATGGTGGCGGGAGCACAAAGACCCCTAGACAGGAAAACATATACCCTGGTCGGAGTGAAATTCACACCGAGGGGGGTGCAGAGAGCTTGGCACCCTCGCTGATAGATCTCAGCTGCACGTTATCCTTCAGAATCTTCCACACACACACCTCTGCTGCCAACACACACCGTCATATCTTCCTGTGACAGAGAAGACGGGGGCAGGGGGATTTAATGAGTGGAGGTGAGGGGTTGTGTAACGTGTGATGTGCAGATCACACGTACACATCGTACAGAGCGACTCGCTGATTCTGTGCCAGTAAACAATTTGTACCTGACAGTTGATCTCACACACACCTACTGTACATGCATTTACATACTGTGTGTTTGCTATTCAGCGTATTTGTGAGGACTTCCTTCCTGATTTACCATTCGCAACATTACACTGTGTGACGTGTAGGCAGGCTTGGGAAGATGTCTTCAAATGTATTCCCTTACAGTTACATTCAAAAATATATAATCAGATTACTGGTACATCTTTTCAAATGGGAATTATTAGCAGGATTACAATGTTATAATGCATTTGACTATATATTATATATTATAGGTAGACGTACTGTCTGAATTGTCTTTTTGCTTTTCATTTAGGCTACTTTCATTTCTTTTTTTAATGCAAATAATGTGTTGAACTAAAACAGCATTTTTAAACTTTCTGTAAACCTAGTCTAAAATGTAAGAGGACACATTTTTTATCCTAAATATTGAGGAATTTGATATTATTAGGTAACATTACTTATTTTATATTGTGACTATGTTACTGATTACTTAACTACTTAACCCAGGTTACTAGTATTTGTGACAGATTACATTTTTTAAAGTAACCCTTCCCTGCTTGTGTATATATATATATATATATATATATATAAAACATTTAGAAACCCAGTTTAGTGACTCATCATATTTCAGGTTTTTGGCTTGCAAAAAAGTGTCTATTTTCTCCTCTAAGCCTCTGTGTTCCTTTTATCTCTATCATTTGTAGATGCCTAAAGAGACCTAAATCATCCAGTGTTTCACTAGAAAAGCCAAAATTAGAGGAATTAAAGTCAGATAAATGGTCTAAATTGAATTAGCAACACAATACCCAATTCAAAAACTGGATTCAGTACATAGTATTAACTGTAATCCTTGTATCTTCACTCTAAAGTAGCCCCCTATGAGGTGTAGACCACCCACAATGTGTCCACTTATGAGGATTTCCCTCTTATCTCCATGAGCATATCTGATGCAAGAACACGCTCGCACAAATCTATCCACACTTGGACTTTGGCTTTCATTTTCTCGGCGTGTCATATCTCCCCTCCTCTGCCTCCCTTTTTATTTTGTCAACAAGGCGCCTCCTTACTCCTGCTAATCTCCTCCTCCATCTGTCTCCTCAGCCCCTAAGAGAGCTCCTCTGACCCGGCACACTCCTCCACCTGCTCCCCCTGACCACCTCTATGTACTGTGGCGAGGGGGGAATAAGGGAGGTTGTAGAAAGATGTGAAGAAAACGACTGGCGCTGAGACAATGTTGTCCATGCAGCCTGAAGGCAGGTAGAAGGATGAATTTAGGCCTCTACCTTTCCCAAGAGTGCAATTACACAAGCAATTACTCTCCGTGGGCATCACACAACCCACTAAACCGCCAAGATCACATCCAATCTGTCAGGGCCGGCTGGGATACTGGTGCTTAGTGTTCTTCAATAGGCTCTCGCTCATGATGACTAGCTACAGAGATCGCCAGAGGGAATGTGTGGAGAGCAGGATGAGGGGATTGGAGGAGGATGAGAAGAGGGACACATGCAAGTTCATATCTTAAAGTTGATATTCTATATGTATTACGGCTTACATATCCGTGAGAGAAATATCAATGCGGAGCTGCTCGTTTCTACCTGTCAGCAACAGCGGAATATGAT